ATTCTATGCTGTACAGTATTTCCTTCTTCCACTGCATGGTTAAGGTTTGGATTTGTATATAAACCAAAGTCCCAGAGAGTTCAAAGAGGACTGTTTACAAAAATAAAAGCCAAGGGGCATCAATATTAATAAAGCTAAGTGAAAGAGATATTGAATAACCTTTGTGAAATTAAAAACAATGACTAATTCAATCCAAACAACTAGGTCATGCTCAAATTCCAGTAATTCTAAAGCTTAGATATAATAAGGCAAGAATTTTCTTTTGCTTCAGTAGTCAAAATGAAGGACCCATTCAGGGATAAGACCAGTAGCAGAGGCCCAATGGGAATGTTAGAGTAACAATTTGAGGGGAGATAAGAAGTTGAGAAGCAGAATAAAGCCAAGATGATCACGATAGTACTACCTGTTATTTTCACAGAGTATGTGATCACAAAGACACTTTTTTAAAAAAGACATTTCTCACAAAAGACCAAGGCATTGTTCAGCAAAACATCTGAGAAACTCTCAGAGGCTACAAAGCCTCAGGGGTGTCACTTGCTCAGAGGAAGCAGGTAAACCACCTAATCAAAGAGATATCATGACATACACAAACTCCAACAGAACAAGTCAAAATATGCTGAGTGTTGTAGGAGAAGTAAACGCTGAATGTAACAGAAACTGATGGAGGACCGAAGGCATTTATTTGACAGGAGATATGGAAAGGCATCGAGTTACTGAGTAGATGAAAGACACGAAAATTAAAGAAAACCATACAGCGAATTTTGTCTACTGACTTGGGTTGCCTTCTCATTGTTCTTAAAAATGACCTTTAATAATTTGGTCATTTGGAGAGTAGGTATGATATTTAATGGAAATTCACATTCAAGGCAAGCTGGACTCACTAAAACACACTCTTCCAATTTAAAACATATAGCATTCACTCACCTGCTTAAATGGAATATCAAGTCACCAGAATCATGCTGCAAGCCCACGTTCTAGCCTCCATATCTTAATATACTATACATCCTCCAACAACAGGAGTCTCGATTTTGAGGGTTTAGATGTCATATTGGTAAAAGAGAATAAAAGCCCAAATAAGCATCTCACAAGAAGAAACCTGCTCTGGGACAAAAAACAGAAGACCAAGTCACAAGAAGGCAAAGGGCAAAAGGAAGGGAATCTTGGCTGTAGGATGCAGGCAGTGGGTCTGCAAAAAAAGATGCCTGCGGAACTGCACCATGACATTTAGGCTTCATCACAGGCCCCCTTTGAGTTTCCAAAACAAGCTCCTGTCATGCAACCCATTCATCTTAATAAGACAATGAGTAAGCTCTCTAACAATGTGATTAGATCTTTGTATAAGAACTTTTCAAGCTGGTGCAGTGGTTCATGCCTGTAATCCCAGCACTTTGGGAGACAGAAGCAAGAGGATTACCTGAGTCCAGGGGTTGAAGACCCGCCTGGGCAAGATGGTGAGACCTTGTCTCTACAATAAAGATCAAAAAATGAGCCGGGCGTGGTGGTGTGCGCCTGTAGTTCCAGCTACTTGGAGGCAGAAGGATCACCAGAGCCCAGCAGTTCGAGGCTGCAGTGGCCGTGAGCGTGCCACTGCACTCCAGCCTGGGCAACAGAATGAGACTCCTACTCAAAAAAACCAAAACAAACAAACAAAAAACCCCCCACAACTTTTCAAATCAGCAGTTGCTGGCTGAGCATTTTTTACATTTCTTGTGTAAATCAAAATAAGAAAAAAGAAATCTAGTATTATACTTTCTTCAGTCAACCACATTAATGCAGCTGAGGCTAGAAAATCCAATAGGGTAGAACCAAAACAGGCTTTTCACATGAAAAAAAAAACATTTAAAAAAATATGAATGCAACTTTATATTTCTTCTGCATAAAACAAAGGGAGGCAGTACTTTGCTATTTACTCTTACTTTAATGTCTCAAAGTTAAAAACATTAAAAATCCAACTCTTTCATCATTGTATATAAAACTGCTATAGTTTGCAGGACAACTTGATACTTTAATAAAACATGAAACAAATTTACCAATTTTCTGAGTGTCTCTCAAAAGCAAACTGACTTCTTAAAAAGACAAAAAACTGGCCGGGCTCAGTGGCTCAGCCTGTAATCCCAGCACTTTGGGAGGCCAAGGTGAGTGGATTGCCTGAACCCATGGGTTCGAGTCCAGCCCGGGCAACTTGGCGAGATCTCATCTCTACAATAAATAAAAAATTAGCTGGGTGTGGTAGTGCGTGCCTGTAGTTCTGGCTACTTGGAAGGCTGAAGCGGAAGGAATGCTGGAGCCCAGTGGGTCAACACTGGGGTGGCTGTGAGCATGCCACTGTACTCCAACCTGGGCCATAGAGTGAGACTCCAACAACAACAACAAAAAAAGACAAGACAAAAACCTACCAATGGATTCAAAGATTTCTGCTGAATTAAAATATATTTTAATAATCTATGGATGCAGTGAATATATTTTTTTACATATGCCCTAACTAAAACACTCAACATGATAATTCTGCTCCTGTATCACCTTCTAACTTTTGTTTTCACTCTTAACATATCTTCCAGAATTGTGACAATTCTGACAAATGATGGCTATCACAGAAAAATATAGAAGGGGAAAATGTATTTTCCCTGTTGTCTTAATGTATGTAATGAAAAATGCGCTATAATCATCTTTTTCCACTATACTCTTGTGCCCTTTGCTACTTTTGAAGAAAATACCTAAACAAATAAAAAAAGGATATAAATAAGACATAAATATTTTAAAATATTTATATTTCTATATCTATGAATATTTTATAATTGTATCATAAACCAGCTAATTTATTCCCATTGAGTATAGAAGATAACTTTACAATTTCTCAACCATTATTTGTTTTCCACATTGAGTAAATATCTCTTCCTTACAGTCTCTATAGCATAACCAGGTGTGCACCTGTGTGCATATCACACAAAAGGCAAATAGACAAAACAATAACAAGAGAATGGGGTTGTCTCTGCATCTCAGTACAAGCTTGTTTGTGGAATTTATGACTGTCAAAAATCCAAAATAAAGAGTTGAAGTTAGGAAAAAAAAAACCTCCAGCCTCATCATTTACCCCTCAAAGTTCCTGTTAGATATTGCTCAAGAACCTATGCCTTTCCCTTTGTTGTTAATATCATTCATTTTATTAATGCTCCATCATCTTTGTATTAAGAATTGGCTTCAGACTGGCTTCGGACAGCTCCTTCAATAAACTGCCCTGCAAAAAAGTAACTCCCAACCACTTTATTCACTTTAGTAACAAAATAAAGAAGTGTTTTGCTTTCCTGAATAAAATACAATAGCAAAATACAGAACAACTGAATACGACAAGATTCCAGATAATCATACAGAAGGGATGGCTCAATTGACTGGTAACTGAATACGGTGGCTTTTTTCACACTGAAGAATTAAATTCAGCCTAGATCTAGGGCAACGGAAAGATGCTACCTTCGGAAATATTGGCATCCAATTCCTTCCTGATACTATTACAAGCTGCATTCTTGTTGGCCCTCTGACCAGGACAAAGATCAGAGTAGCATGCAGTCTTCCATTTCAGTGTCCTGTGGGGGTGGGGGACCCAGGTGAGAAACATGCACTGATGCTATTGTTGTGTGGTCTGTGCTTAGGACATCTGGAATGTTAACCAAGACTGCTCCACAAAAAAAGTTGTTTAAAGAACGACAAAGGAAGAGGAAATAGACACATTCCCTACTCAAGAATGGTCAGATACCAATTCATCAGGCTCAAAATAAATTGACAAAACTATGGAGAGAGTGGTCGCCAGGACTGGGTGGGAGGGAGGAGATGAACTGGCAGAGCACACAGGATTTTTAGGGCAGTAAAACTACTCAGTATGATACTATAAGGTGGATACATGTCATTAAACATTTGTCCAAACCCATAGAAAGTAAAACACAAAGAGGAACGAACCCTATGTAAACTATGAACTATGGGTGATAAGGATAAGTCACTACAGGCTCATCGACTGTAATAAATGTACCACTCTACTGGGGGATGTTGATAATGAGAGAAAATACACATGTGGGGTGGTGGATTTACAGGAAGTCTCTGTACCTCCTGCTCAGTTTCGCTGTAAACCTAAAACCGCTCTAAAAAAAAAGTCTTAAAAAAAAATCCCAGACAACTAGTCATGGAATCCTCCCGCTTGCCTATGATGGTTTAAAAAGAAAAAAAAAGTCTGATGGAAAACTATTCCCCAGAAGAAAAAACTGTTAGCTTTTTGTCCCTTTCATCTCTAATAAAGCACTGCCAGAAAGCTCTACTTTCTTAACACTTCCTAAAAAACATGCCTGTAAAGCTCAAAATTACCAATACCCAAGGAAACTCCCCCAGAGATTTCAGTAAACTATCATGCGTGCCCTGGAGTGTGCTGGGTGAAGCAGCAACCCCAGGATTTAGTCACGCATTACACACAGTCTGAAATTTTTGTTTCTAGTCATTCATCATTCACTCCGATTACAAAACATTTTCCCTGGAATTTCTTAAGAAAAGTGAGCAATATTTCTTACTTTATGATTACACTGAATTTAAACAAAAGAAGATGACACAAGATACTTGGAACTCAAACTCATTCCTGCGGATATATCTGATTATGCCTTTTAGCCAAGGCTCACCAAGAAACTAACATCAGACACTACCCAGCTCCTGTTCAACCACCCGAAATTTCCTTCTGTGAAATGTGGGCTAAATCAAGAAGAGGGAAAAGAAGACAGAAAATGACTTGACTGGAACCCACTTTGGAAGTCTGAGTCTTTCTACTAAGAGAGGATGAAACTATATTTCTTATTGCTTAGGTACTTACTGCCTTTTGCTTGTCTCCAAATCTCCCTATATTTACCTTGAAAAGCTTTCCTGGAAGGCCTGTGAGCTTCAGTAAACATTCTGCCAAATGAGAAACAAGTATCTCCAAAACTGCATCTCTCAACACACCACAGAAGAACTGTGTCCCTCTCTTCACTTACCTGGGAAAGCATGTGGATTGGGCGACCCTCTCTTAAGGCACTTAGAACAGAGAATGTGCACAGTGTAGTGCAGTCCAGGCCATTCCTGAAGTAGGACATTCAGTTCCTCTACCAAGGGGGTTATGGCTTGCCACGCAGTCCATATATTTGGTAACGACGCGTGGCTGGCGATGGACAGGGTGTCTGGCTGCAGGACCCCTTTGGAGGGTCTGTAACTCACCACCACAGGAACCTTCCCTCGATAGGCAAAGATCTGAAATTTACCATCCGACCTGTGCACCACATGGCTGTTGATCTGGACACTGTAGCGTGCAAACAACCCAGGTGGAAAGGTAAAAGGAAAGCTGTATTCAATCTGCAACTGCTCAGCCACAAAAGACTGCCCTGCTAGATTGGTCCCATTAATCCAGGCCTCTGCATGGGGCACCTCGTTCTGCACATAGCATGGAAACTTGTACCAGGCAGTGGATCCATTCAAAGGCTTGCCCTTGGGTTTATTGAGGCAGTAACAGAGTCCCATCTTTTCCAGCAGCTCCAGCAATAGCTGCAAGTCCTGTTGGGCCTGAACATGAGGCTTAAGCAGCAACCGAATGACATGGGCTGGTAAGAGCCCATGCAGCAGAAAGCCTTCCACATAATGATGGAGCTGGGTGGTCCGGAGCGGCTCTTGGCTGGGGGTGGGCACAGAGGAGATATCACCCTCCCCCTCGCCTTCTCCACTGGTCCCTAGGAGCAGCTTATGCAGCAGCAAAGAAGCATCCCTCTGGAAAAAGACATTGAGGATGTCGATGAGGCGGGTGAGGTTGTGGAAGACGTGCTCCTTGAGGGCCGGGCTGTCCTCAAAGTAGAGCAGCTTGCCACTCTCATGCAGGTAGGAAAGGGCACTCTGCAGCCGGTCCTCGGTCAGACCTGCCTGCAGGCCCAGGCGCGCCGAGTCCCACCAGCTTAGCCAAAGTCGTTGCGCCTGCGGTGGCTGGAAATGCAGTTCCTCCAGCACCTGCCAGGAACGAGGCAGTACTCTATGTAAGTTGGGGAAAATTTCCCGGTGCTCAGCTACCGAAAACAGCTTGTCCCGAAGGCGTTGCAACTGGCGGGGGTCCCTGCAGCTGACAGGCAACACTGGAGAGAGGATCTGCAGCCTATGGTTGAGCAGGTACTGAAAATGGGCCTTGCGCCTCCGAAGATTCTTGTCCGAAACGCCATAGTAGGCTGCATGGGGGCTGGCGGAACGCAGCTCAAAGTCCCGGGCCAGTGCCTCGTCCACCACCTGGGCCAGGCGGCTCAGCCCCTCCGCATCATGCTTCTCCTGCAGGGCGATCTGGCGGTGGATGTCCAGACACTTCTCCTCCAGTTCCCGCTCCCCGCACAGGTCTGCGTGCGTGCCTACGATGCACACCACCGCGTGAGGCACCCGGGCCCCCACCCGATGCAAGAAGGAGCCCACGGTGGTGGGAAAGCTACGTGGCTCATAGGTGGCCAAGTTGACCACCAGCACATACAAGGCTCCTGGGGAGAGGAAGAAGGGCTGGATCACCTCATAGCTCTCGTCACCAGCTAAGTCATATACGATGAACCGCAGGCCTCGGGAAGCATCGGCTGTCCAGCTGGTCACCTCGATGCCCTTGCTCACGGCGGGAGGTGAAGGTGGGTAGCTCTTCTCCTTGTCCCCTCCTCCCTGGCTCCCCTCTACTCTCTCCTCAGTGAGGCAGTGGCGGAGCAAGGTCTTTCCTGCAGCCTTATGGCCCATCAGAAGCAGCTTGAGCCGGGGCTGCACGGCCGGCTGGGAATGGGCCAGCTCCTTCTGGTAGGCTGCAATGTAGGGGATGCCCTTCATGCAGACCTCGTAGGGAGGCTGGATCAGTGGGTTGTCCTTGATCTTCCACAAGCCCACTCGGGACAGCTGGCCAAAGTTGTCCGGCAGCACAGCGATCTGGTTCCCTTGCAGCACGAGCTCCTCCAGGCCGGTCAGCTCCACGATGGAGTCCGGCAGGTAGCGGATACGGTTATTGTCCAGCCACAACGTGAGAAGCCGGCCCAGCCCTGAGATAAGGGAGGGCACCGAGGTGAGCTGGTTGCGACTAAGGTAGAGCTCCTCCAGACCAGCCAGTGGCAGCAGAGCTGCAGGAAACTCCTCGAAGAGGTTGGAGGAGAGGTTGAGCATTTTGAGCCGTTGCAGGCGGCTGAACTGGGCAGGAAGAGCCTGCAGCCCGTTGTTGTCCAGCATGAGGCTCTCCAAACTGGCCAGCTCGCAGAAGCCGGCGGGCAGCGTGCCAAGCTCGGCCCCACTCAGCCAGAGGATCTTGAGGGCTCGCAGGGCACTGATATCCTCAGGCAGGCCCCGCAGCCGGTTGCTAGACACGTCCAGCTCCTCCAGGGCCGCCAGCTGCAGCAGCTGCCGGGGGAAGGTAGTGAGCTGGTTGTGGTCCACGTCGAGGGTGCGCAGGCGCGAGAGGCAGGCCAGGGAGTCGGGCAGGTGCGCCAGCCGGTTAAAGCTGACGTCCAGCTCCTCCAGGTGGGCCAGGGCGCCCAGCTGGACAGGCAGGGCAGGCAGCTGGTTGTGGCTGAGGTTGAGCTTGTGCAGCTCCTTCAGGGCACTCACCACCTCCGCGCCCAGGGCGGTCAGGCGGTTGTGGCTCACGTCCAGCTCGATGAGGTGGTGGCCGAGCTCGGCCACCGCCGGGGGCAGCCGGGCGAAGCGGTTCCGGCGCAGGACCAAGACGCGCAGGCTGCCCAGCGCCGACCCCAGCCCGTCGGGCACCTCCTCCAGGCCGTTGTTCCCCAGGTTCAGCGCCTCAATGTCCCCGATGTTGGCCGGCAGCACGAGCTGGGGGGCGTCGGGGGACTCCAGCGGGTCGGCCCCGGGGCAGCCCCCGGCCGCGCTGATGGTGAGCTGGCGC